GCCAATAGCAATAATATAATGCTTGTAGGGAGAAAACAAGAAAACACACCTAACACCCCCACAGGACAATAGGTTCTCCTCTGACATGGCCTTTTAGAAATGAGACTTGGTGCTATGGTAAATAGTTCCATAAAATCTTAGCTCCTGACTCTGTGACAATGGCCAAAAAAAAAAACAGATCTAAAGGGCTTATTTGTGAAAAATGTCTGTTTTAGAAAGCTGCTGAGTTACTAAACATTGGAGGAGGCCAGGAGGCTCCTTTTTTTCTTACACTCTTCCCTAGGTATCTCCTTGGTCATGGATTCCCTGTTGGGTTCCCTATTTTAGAAAAACCTGTAGAGCTCCTTCAGGAAGGGACGGGGCTAGAGGAGAAGAGAAGCCCGGTGGCACAAGAGGACAAGCCAAGAGAAACCAACCCTCGGCTGGGAAAAGGGGCTGTGGAAGACGATCCCTGTGGTGCCACCAGGGCTGTCTTGGAAGGGGCTGACTTGGTGCATGTGGGACATACTGAGAGAATATAAGGCTGCCAGCAGGCTAGGAAGTCCCTGGCATATAGCAGTGTGGGCTGTGGAGACTTCTCCTTCCATTTACATTTATTGTCATTTCATTTTCACATATTTCAAAACTGAGTGCTGTCCAGTCCTCATTCTTCCTCTGAAAAAACTCCAACCTATTGATCCCTAATATTTTTATGCCCCTGAGATCCACTCCCTCCACAGCTCAGTTTCTTCTCAACCTCATCGAGTTTGACAACGGCTTTGGTTGCCCAAATCCCATGTAACTAGCCATTTGGGGAGGGAAAGTGGTGCTAAATGAACTTCTCTTGTGCTCGCCAAGACCTCAAGGAGCAGGAGACCTCAGTCTTTCCGTCATCTCTTCTCCAGCATGTGCGGGTTGGAGCAAGAACCCCATGTTACCGGATCCCCCGAGGGCCCGATATCCCCGACGCGTCACCGCCCTTCAGGGCTCAGTCTGGGCTGAAACACAAGCTCCACACGAGGGCTGTGTGCTTTCCAGCGGGGTGTTGTGGCACTAACAGCTGATGGAAGGCTTCTCGGAATACCTGATTTTTACCTTGACACTTTTTCTTGACATGCTGCCGTTTTAGAAGTACTTTTCCCCTCTCTCTCTTTACTTCTCTATGTGTTCTTTTTTCCGTGGCAGTATTTTTCTCTTGATATGTTTTGTTGCTGTTAAGGACTTGCATAATGTTTCCTTTTAAATGGTTTAATTTCAAAGTTTTCTCTTACTTCAAACTTCCTAGTTGCTATGTGACTCTGCTGTGCGATTTCTAAGTCTTCTTTTGCTTTAGTGCTCTTTATCTCTTAGGCAGCTTCCCTTGAAAAGCTCTACAGTGGTGATTGATAGCATGAAAAATATCATCCGTATCTCTCAGTTCATAATGTAGAATTTTAATATATCTACGAGAGAAGTGGATGCAGACCAAACAAGCATTTTGTAGGGTGCAATAATGGTTATTTATTTATAGGATACTTATTTTCTAAAATTCTCAAATAGCATGAAGAGAAACTTGGCCATATTTTTAAGAAAATACTTTTTTTTTTCTCATACATTCTAGTCATACCACAGGCTTTCCACAAAAAGATCATTCTATTTTTGTATTATATGCCCAGAACAGTTATTGCAGGACTGGACGTTGCCAGGATTTGATACCGAGAGCATGCAGTCTGATTTTTTAAAGGCAGAGTGCTCACAGCTTTTCTTGGAGCCATTGTGAATGGCAGGTGTCTCAGGTCCCCAGACTAGGATGTTCATAGTTTGACTTACTTTCAGTGTTAAAATATTTGAATACTTCTCTCCAGATCCTCTAAAGTACATCATTTTAAACCGAAGCATTTGACTCCAGTAGCAGTTTAAAATGCACGACACTGGGTTTAATCTGAAGCCCACCAAGAGCAATGAAAGTCTTTCTGTTGATAGGCTGTAACTGGATTTAAAAAGTGGCCTACATCTTTTGCTCCATGTCTCAGGCTCTCTTTGCTCAGCTATCCATAGGTGGTCTAAATTTACCACTGCAGTATGAAAACATGAATCTGTGAACAGCGGAGGGTCTAGCTATTTAAATCACTTTCTGGCCTCATTTCTGAACCTTGAACAAGACTTGCACTTCCCAGTTTTGTCAGCAGAGTGAAGCTGGTGAATATTTTCTTTGGTGACCATTTTCATCTGCAGTTCATAGCAGGAGCTATGATGAAGCCAGCAAAAAGTGGCTGATATTCCTCATTTTACTTACTGAAATGGGTTGGCTAACCGGGTTGGCCAGCTGGCAGATGTGGGGTTTTTTGGTTTGTTCATTGATTTTTTTTTTTTTGCTTGTTGATACATTTATGCTTAAGAGGCCTTTGCAGACAGAGAAACAACAGGACTGTGAGTGAGCCCTCAGTCTCAGTTTTGTCACCGAAAGCCACAGTTGATAGACTTAATTCCTCAGGAAAGGCAGAAGCTGTTTTTGAAAAAGGTATCAGACATTTTGTCACCTTTTTTTTTTTTTCCCTAAGTCTGCACTGACATTAGTGGAGCAATCTTGCGTTGGAGCAGTCACTCCAAGAGGAGAGTGGGATGTGGTAATGGGGGTGGGATGTCTGGTTGGCCTTGGTGCATCAAAAGTGCTTGCTGTCTTGCCCATGCAGCCCATCAATGAGGGCAACCAAATGGCACCTGGAATCAGTAGGACATCTTGTCCTTTGGAGATCACTTAAACTCTGCTTAAAATGAGCCTTATTACTACAAAACTTATAATTTAGCTTTTGGAAGGCAGCACGTACTGTATGTGCAGTGTTGTGTCCTCACCACTTGTGCCAGCCTGGAGTCACCTACTTCTTGGCTTGCAGTCATTTGCAAGTTCAGCAAATTGTTTTAGTGTCTAGATGGGCTAGATTATGGGGTAGATGATCTGTCAGGATGTTCCTGGACTGCAAATACTGTGAAATAGTGAATCAAAGCAGAAGCACAGCGCAGATCCTGAGGGCAGCAGTCAGTAGTCTTTGGTTCTGTTTCGTGCGCCTGAGAAATGGTTGATTTCAACATAATGGTGACTTTGTGATAGAGCTCCCAGGGAAAAGGCACAATGATTTTTCTACCTAATGGATGTAGTAAAAGCATTGACAAGTCTACTGTTGGTTAGAATAAAATGTGCTTTTTGTTATGCCTGATTTGTCTTAATTGTAGTGTTATAAGAAAAAATTCTGGAATGAAAAGAATATTGTGTTAAAGTGTCTCCTGAACCGCATTTTCTTATGCAGCAGTTGCTCTCAAGATAGTGATAATGTTCACAGAGAAACTGGAACTGCGTGTGAAAACTGGAAGGTCAGCTCTTCACATCTTCTCAATACTTCAGATGATTGTGGTTTTTCTTATTTTTTGTTAGGAACAAGACTCCCGCTATCCCTTGAGAGCTTGCTCCTAGGTTACTTATGCTGGTTAATATCAACATACTTGATCACATCAGGGTACCAAAATGTTTTTTGAGCTACTGGTTTCATCACCAGATGCCTACTGCCATGACTTGGGCTTTCCTGAATTAGGCCTTTATATATACTGCCTATACTTTGCTCTCCCTGCATGCTCTTCATTCGTTGCTACATAGCAGCAGAGAGTAATTTAGCTCCCCAGCAGTGTGTTTTATTAAGAAAGCAAATTGTCAGTGTTTACTTATACTGTACAATTCAGTAATTGTACTGCACACCTTGGCCAAGTTCCTGAATAATATGAGCCTAAAAACAAGCTCTTAAATTCATATTTATGTTCCTAAGCAGACAGTCTGATTTTTCAAATATTGAGTCTACCCTTACGCTTGTTGACTTTTTGGGAGCCAGTAGGTTATCACTGTTTTGAAAATCAGGCCTGCTTCTTCTTCTTCCAGTACAGGAAAGCCAGACTTTATTCTAGACTCATTTTAATGTATATCTCTGTAGCTTTGTAATGCCTCTTTTATTTGCTGCATTGCAATAATTCCTAGTGGAGCTTTTCCTGCAGTCTAAATGATGAACTTGGATTGATTAAAATGTCCAGTATGAAAAGTTTCCCACAAGGTTGCTACTTAAAATCTTTACTAGAAGATACGGTGATGCACAGAATAAGAATATTTCTGGCAGGTCTTTTTGCTGTTTTCATAGAAGGGCTGACTATAAAAATCATCTTTCATGAAACGTATGTTTCACTCCCAGAGCCTGACAACAAGCCAGAGTGAACTGAGGTGCATCAGAAAGACTCATTTTGTCCCTGGCAATATTAGGAGCACTCAGTGCACTGTTAGTGAGGTTTGTCTCCTGTGTGTCAGTGCCTCAAGGCTTCCCAGCTCTGAATAAGTTCAAGGAAAGTCTGATTCATTACTTCAGGGCCTGAGCTGAATTCTTTCCTGCTTTTAAAAAAATTGCCTGAGCCCCAAATGCTGGCTGCAGCAGTGTTAAGGAATGGCCATTTGCTTTGCACCTTGCTGCTCATCTGCAATAAGAGGAGACTCTCCTTAATCTGTGGGCTCAGACACACAGCAGAAAGACTTTTTGACCTAAGATAAAACAATGACAAAAACATTCCTGTGCAAGCACAGCATGCAGGCACTTTGGGATGCTTCTGGAATATATTACTGGGGATAACTTTCTTTAAAAAGAAAATTCTGCCAATACTTTTAGAAAAAAAAAAAGTCTAGTGTGATGAGGAGAAAGAGAAGAAATTAGTCCTGGTAATATTTAAAAATTTTGAAATTCAGGGGGCCCTGGAATGGCCCCAAATTTAACATAGACTCAATCAAGAGGGAGTTCTGGCACAATTAAGAAGTGCCACTTCAAAAGCGTTCTCATTTTAACCTCTGGGATTTTTCATTTCCTTTGTTTTGACACCCTTGTAGGTCAATATGTGCTGCCTTTTCAATAATCAATATGTACTTCATTGCTCAAATGAGGACTGCTCCTGAGAAAAGAATTTGGGTCTTCAAGCACTCTGTGGCTAATGCTGACTGTCTATTTCCCTTCCCCTTGCAGAGGCACAGCAATAGCTGGAATCGTTTTCGGGATAGTATTTATAATGGGAGTGATTGCTGGGATTGCCATCTGTATCTGCATGTGCATGAAGAACAACCGCGGCACTCGAGTCGGGGTCATCCGAACGACGCACATCAACGCCATCAGCACGTACCCAGGTAAGGAGGCTCAGTGACACCCTTGCAGGATCACCCGTGGTCACGATAGGAGTGAGTCCGTGCAGAGTGATGACTTTGCAGCACCTCGAGGTAGTGTCCCCACCAAGACACTTGCCACGCAATGGCTCCCCACCATGTGGAAACAGCCACGCTGCTGAAGAGCTCTTGTGCACTCTATATACTTGCAAGCAAGCTACCCAGTACTTAATATGTACCCCATTGTCATAATCACTGTGCTTAGCATCTATTTTCTCCTCCATCCTCTTACTTTACAGTTAAACTAAACCCAGCTATAATCACCCTTATTATTGCAACATTGTTTTGCATAGACAGATGAGTAATGAAAGAAAACTGCAATGTTCTCGAACATGAATTGCTGAAGAGCTACTTTAGAAGCTAATAGTCACCGCAAGCTGTAAAAACAAGAGCAAAATGAAGGCTCTGGGGCTCTAACCTTTTTCTCCCCAAGGCTGTTCCTGCACTGACTCACACTGTACCTATCCACCATCAGGCAGTTAGACTCTGAGTGCTGCCTGTTCCCGGTGCAAACAGCTGCTTGAGCTGTCCTGCCTCTCAGCAGCAGCAGTTTTTGGAGGATGGGACAAGCTCTGAGATTATTTTCATGTTCTCCCTCAGCAGCAGCAGTCCTGGAGCAATGATTGGCCTGGCTCTAATTTTGTGATGTTTACAACCAACCCTCCCTCCTGCGAGTGGCAGTTTGGGACAGGAGTGGTGGGTGATGGGATGCCCTTCCTTTGGCTCAGCCACTGTGGCAGCCAGGTTTTTGGAGAGGAAGGAGTGCTGGTCCTGCCGCACAGGGACCAAGGCTCCTTCCCCTCCAGCGAAACTATCCCAGACTCCTGTATTTTCTCTTATTAAAATGCTCTTTTAGTGCCAGTCTGCTTGAGATCTCCAGGGAGGGGATAGGAAAGCCCTCACAGTTACATGGACAGTGAAGAAACCGACTCCGGAGCTTAAACTTCATAGTGATCACGCTAGCGGGGTCTTGGTGCAGAGCCCTCAGCACCTACCAAGCTCTGTGCCTGGATCCTTCCCCCAGGTTGGCAGAATTAATTGAGAAAAGGCTTTCAGCTGTTTGTGGAAGCCTTTCATTCTTTCCAAAGTGTCTGACCTGCTTTAAAACATGGGGCTGTCCTCAGATTTCTCCACTGAGCAGTACAAGGTGAAAGCCCTGTTCTTACACAGCCTGAGTCCTAGGAACATCCTGGGAAGATGTCGGGGTTTTCTCCTGCCGTGTGTAATGCTGCTGTGCAGCAAGGAGCTTTGCGCTGTGTTCAGCATGTGGTTACACATCTCCTGGGGATCTGCAGGCAGTGAGAGAAGCCTGCGAAGGTCAGCAAAGGCCCTGGCTACAGAGTCGCTCTGAGATAAATCCGTGTCGCTGCTGAAAGGGAATAAAGCTGCTAAAACCCAGCTAAAATCCTCTCCTTAAAATATTAAGCTTTCTTCCGCATCACCCTCGTGTCATCTGCCATATGGCAACCTGAGCAGTGTTACCAGCACAAAACGCAGATAGAGATCAGGACGAGCAGCGAAGGAAGGGGCAATAAGCAGGGGCTTGCATTGTAACACAGTGACAGTGTAATGATAGACTGGGAAAAAAATAAAAGCATATTGCCAGGAGACTTGCATCTCCTGCATGGAAGTCTGAATTTAAACCTCAATACACCTAAGGGCCTGTGCATGAAAAAAAAAAAAAAAATCATTTTTATCTAATTCTTACTCCTTCCACCCCATTCCAGTGGCCCCTCCGCCATACAGCTACGAGTACGAGCTGGAGTACCCCGCAGACCTACCTCCTCCGTATACCCCAACCCCACAGGCGTCGATGCAGTACCCGCCACCTCCTCCCTACCCTGGCTACTCAGGGAAGTAACGGAGCTGCGCCGCGCGGACCTTGATTGCCATTGAAGCAGCCAGCATCGCGGGACAGGACTTTGTGACTCAGGGATGGATGGATGGAGACTGCAGGGACGAAGAGGCCAGGAACTGGCGCAACCCAGGGAAATATTGCCCATTGCAGCTCGCCACACTAGAAGGCTGAACAGAGTGTGGATGAAGAAAGAGTTACCACGGTTTAGGGCAGCGCTCAGCATCAGCGCTTGGCTTCAGCGAATCCGAGCGTCGCTCTTCCCACGTTGCAAGGTGCTTTGAGGGGAAGGCTCCCACCATCATGCTCAACATCCACACTCTGCCTGGTCGTGAGAGGAGGCGAACGAGGAAGGCAGGAGCTGTTTTCAGTCTCCATTGCAGGATGGTAGTAGCAGAGGATCAGCTATGCATATGGACCTGATAAATATATTGCAGAGAGAGGTGCTCTCAGAGTTGCTCAGTAGACAAAAAGCAACTGGTATTATTTTTGGCCAAATACAGGCTGCTTTAAGTGCCTACTTTTAAACGAGTTGAGGCTAATTTTTGGCCTAAAATGTAAATGTAAAGAGCATTTTTTATATGTGGGTTACACTAATTTATAGCTGATTTATTTTTATGTGGACTTAAATACTATATACATTGAATATATGCTACTTTATTCTCTTTTATCACCAAATGATACTGTATTGATACTCTGTATTTGGCGTGTTTTTTTGTTTGTTTTTTTTTATAAATACTGACTTGGGAAAACTCCCAAGCAGGAGAAGAAATAGAAACAATGTATTAAAGCATCACAGATTTGACTTTCAATTAGATTACTGACTAAACTACATGAAGACCAGCTTTTTAAAAAATGAGTATTGTTTTGCAGTGATGATATGCAGCTTAACCAAAGAGATGACAGAGAGATTGTGAGCATCAGATTCGTTTTGTATGCAGTCTTGGGCATTTTAGAACTGTAAGCTACTAAGTAGTATTTTTTGCATTCCTTACACACATAGTTCAAGACCATTCAATCTCTATGTGTACTGTACAGACATTTATGATTTAAAGCATTCCATATCTTCGTTGGGCAAACTCTAATTCAGCAGCAACAGGAATTTGACTTCAGAATAGAGTATTCACCTACCTAAAGCATCATCCTTTGATGATAAGTGTAGCGTTTTTCTTGTTTTTATATGCAAACCACAAATCAAATACTTCTCTTCAGGAATTTAAAAATACTGATCTACTTCAGCTTGGGTTGGGTGGCTGGACTGTTTGAGAACTTTATAGACAAAAATAGTAGAAGGTGAAAAAAATACATGGCACCTAAAGTTATGGCCAGCAGTGGCATTAGGGAGAGACTTCAGGCTGTCGTTGATTCCTGGCGATCAGAATGTGTTTACATGTTGTCCACTGTAGCCTTTTTTTTTATTTCCCTAAGGGTATCAGTGTATTAATGAATAAAAACACAGTTCGCACAAGGGGGTGTCCATAGCACAGTCAGATCAACTAAACAGCTCTCATCACCCTCTCAGGAAGGTGTATTTTTGGCATTCAGTCTGGCTTGAGGGAAGAATTCAAACAATCTTGTAACTTTAAGCACACAAATTATTCATAAGCCCTCTTGTATCCAAGACCTTACTGACTGTTCTTGCTCAGATTGTTGTAATTGCGTTTGTCTTTTATGGGACATAACTGACTAACCATATCCTCTTGACGACGCTGCTTGAAAGCATAAACAGCCTCAGTTCTCACCACTGTAGCCTTGGAGGATTTACACTGTGGCCTTTGTCCAGCTCTGAGGCAGAGCACAACTAGGTCTCCAAGCATTTGTAATCCAGAGGAAAATTAGACTGTGTCACAGGTTTTGTTTGCTGCTGGTTCCTTAGTCTTCCCCAAAGAAGGAAAGTTATTTTCACATTCCTGTTGTGCTGTACATGATAAGTCCACAACAAGGTTATGTTTGAATTTGCTTCTGCTGGGATATGTGCTGTAATCTAGTTGCTAACATGACTTCTCTTAAAGGATGGACGTTCCTCAGTTGAAATCCTCCCATAAATTGCAACCTTCTGTGCATGGTGTTTTGGCGGTCCCTACTTAAGGCATCTGTTGGGTTGTTGGTGTGCCTGCCAATCTTCCCATCCGGGTTGGTGGTCAGCATGAATAACAGAGCAAGCAACGTTTTCTCTGTGGGAAATTCTATTTCACATAGTTCTACACTGGTACTCCAGCACTTTACAGTTACACTAAAATCACACTAGATGATGTTTCTGTGCCAAAATACTAACCTACAAGTAATGAGTATTTTCATTTCTCCCATTCTTGTATTTTATTATATATGTATTTGTATAACACTGAACAAGCAGGCCTTCAAGTCAAAAAGCAGTTTGCATTCAATGAGTCCAGTCTCCTGAAGAATAAAGGAAAACTATCTTGCAGATCGTAAATCTTCCCTTAGTGGAAGAATTTCCCCAACTGTGACATTGTTAGAACCAAGTTATAGAGCGGATTTCTTAAATAAAAAGACATTTATGGAAAAAAAAAAAGACCTCTTTGACCATGGAGTCCTCTGTTTTTCAGTTTTGAGATGGCATGTTGCCTCTGATGTTACTGCATAAAAGTCACAGTGACCTGAGTACCTAGGGTGGACATACAGCTTATTTGAAGGAAAATTACAGAAATAGCAGCATGAAAGGGTGTTGATTTTAGAGTGATTTTAGGTCCATACGTTTTGGGCAATAGCAGACATGATTTTACTTCTCAAAGGACACAACATCTCTTGTCCTTGCTAAGTGCATAATGCATAAAGATATTGCTTTTAGTGCAAATCAGGTAAAACTAGCATGAAGTAGAGTCTTTTCAAAAAAGGATGATGTTTGTATTGCAAATACATGAGCAAACTGAGGTAACCAAAAAGGTGGAGGAAGTCTGAAAGGTTTATAAAAATAAAGAGAACAAAGAAAATGTTGCTGCATAAGCATTTGCTAATACTAAAGTTGAGTCTAGCTGAAAAAGTGTTGTTACACCTTAGGGGTTATTTTCTTTGTATGGAAACATGTAATTTATTCAACGTCTTCATACTCCAAGCTCCTGCAGGTCAGATATTGCTGGCTGCTAGTCATTTATTTAGTTCCACGTGAAATGCTTGCAGTCTAGTGGGTTAGTCCAAAGAGTTTTCCCTTAGTCACTTCACAACTACTTACTTCACCTATTTCAGACTCATGCCCTACATCGTATTGTAAAATAAGAAAAACTGCTTAAATGTAGTCTCTGGCAGACAATGGACAAATGGTCTTTTGCTTTTTTCACTTGGCAGTGGATAGTATCACTAATTTGGTCAGACAGTGAACACAGCATTGCTCTAGGCTAATCGTATACTTTGACCAAATGCCACTGATGTTCTTGCAGTCTCAGTGTGCTCTGCCTTTGACTCATGGCATCTGGAACAGGGAGGTAGAGAAGCAGGTTACTGTGCCGGACTGATCACTACCTGATCCCACGAGTCTTCCTCCTTGGATTTGCAGTTTAGCACATGAGATGAGTGCCTGGGTGATGGATTGGAAACAGCAGGATATGCGAGTGCTTGCAAGAACACATATGCTTGCATATGCTCTGATGCCAGTCCTCCTTTGTGGAAAAAAATAAATCCTGTGCGAAGCCTTAGTTAATTATGTATCGTGGATATTTCAAACCGTGATTCATTTGACAATTTTAATCTGGCATTTCTTTAACTTTTTTTTTTTTTTTTCCCCCAGAATAAGCTACTTCCAAACCAGCTACCTCTTTGACAACCTGCTTTTGCTAGGGTATATTCCAAACAGCAAGAGAAATCTATTTGAGTGCTAATGACCCATTTGAGAAACTGCAAATAAGGTAATGATCAGTTAGAGGAGTTAAAAAGCCAAGGCAAAGCTAGGGGAAGTTAATGTACTAGGTTGCCATTACCTAAATGACACACTCCAATGAAAAGATCATTAATGCTATTATAAACCTGTTTTAATTAATAAAAAATGTGAGCATTTACTTTTTTAATGCTGGGTACTGCTGGAAAGATGCAGCTTTAGCAGTGTACAAGCCAAGTTTTTCATTAGTTCCACAATGAAAAGTTTAGACTGCTTCATAAAACACCTAGATCAATATTAACAGTGTTCTTGGTACAGTAAAAACACATCCTTTCAATTTAAAGCAAACACTCCCAAGACTTTTTGTTATACCACAAGGATTTTTTTTTAATGTAATGGGATAGTTCATAAAGAACTGATGGCTACCTATTAGTATAGTAAATGTTCTATGTTTCTGTATTCATTTTGGAGGCTCTCCAGATGCTTCAGCAACTAGATGAAATATTATTTTAGTCACCTTGGAATAAAACTCAACAGGTAGGTCACAGCACACAACAGTAGTATGTAACACCTTATGGCAGAAATTGCACAAAAGAATTGAGGGAAATTTAATATATTTCTTCAGTTTCACAAAAAAAGTCATTGCTTGGCCAAAACAACTTGAGCAAATAATTGCCAGGACCTTTTATCAAGTGTGCTCCAGGATTACTTTCTAGTAGATACATTCAGTCTAGTGGCTCTATTTATACTGCAGCAATGTCTGAGATCTGTAAAGAGAAGCCTTCTTCCAAACCTGAATTAGAGTGTGTCTCTTTCATTCTGCTGTGCATTTGAAGGTTCATAGACAAAACCGACAAACGAGCAGAGGAGTGAAGAAAGAAGGGGTGCTAGTCCTTTATTTTACCACAGGGAAACAGAGGCTGGAACAAACAAAATGGACAAGATTTTGATTTTGTACAACCCACAGAGGAAAGACTGCTATCACTGTTGACTGGAAGCTATCAATAAAGTGTGTTAAAGCACTGCCATGCAACCAGTTGAAGAGCTTAAAGAAGAATCCAGGAAGCTCAGTCTCTGGGAGAAAGCAACTCGAGGTGCTGAAGGCAGTGGCAATCACAGTAATGTTTGTGGACCTGCTTTGTTGTGAAGGTTAAGTGGTCAATATTTATACAGCATT